CGCCTGGGGCGGCGAAAAAGCCAGAGCCGGCCCTGGCAGTCCCAGAGGGCCCTATGAGTCTGTCTACACAGCAAGTAGACCCCCGCGGCTGGCCCATGCCAGACAACTCAGGCTTGCGGGGTTTGGGCTGAGGGGCTGTTTCACTGCTCTGGGCTCGGCCTGGAGCCCGGGCTCTAGGACCCTGAGAGGTGGAAGGTCCCAGAGTGGAAAATGTGGTTTCACAAGCAATTTTCTGCTTCACACCCCTGAAGCTGCAATTACACCTTCTTTGGTTGCCTTGCTCCAGAGCCAGGGGCATGAGCACTTAGGCTGCCTGGCTGCCAACAAGTGAAGTCTAAAGAGAGCCGATCTGAACCCACGGAATGCTGCAAAGCTGGCAACCCCGCTCCCAAGGTGATGGCCGTGGAATCGGGGCCGTCGGTACAGATTGCTTGTCAAGAATCGGTGTGATCGACACCAGACAGATACAAACTCCCCTGCAGGGAATGTACCTGAGAACCAGCAAGGGGATTATGGTAGACTCTGCCATCTGCTTTAGGGTGATGAGTTGTATTGTCCCCATTTTGCAGATGGGAAAACTGAGGCACAGTGGGGACTTGTCTAATGTAGCAGGCGCTGTCACTGGCTGAGCTGGGACAGAACTCAGGAGAAGCTGTGCTCAGACTGCTGACCACTCCAACTGGGCCCCGTCTTCTCCTCACAGAAGGGTCCGACACGCTCACCTCACTCTGCACCGGCAGTGTCCTGTGGCCAGGCAGGAGCAGAGATGGGAAGAGAACCCAGGGCTCCTGACTCCCAGTTCTGGGATGTCATAAGAACGGCAATGGTGGGCCAGACCAATGGGCCAGCTAACCACATACCCTGGCTCTGACAGCAGCCAGTGCCAGGTGCTTCTGGGGGAATGAACGGAACAGGCAATTTCAAGTGATCCATCCCATGGTCCAGTCCCAGCTTCTGGCAGTCAGAGGCTATGGACACCCAGAGCATGGGGTTGCGGCCCTGACCAGCTTGGCTAATAGTCATTGATGGACTTATCTCCAGGAGCTTTCTAATTCTTTTTTAAACCAAGTTACACCTTTGGCCTTCACAACATCCCCTGGCGACGAGTTCTACAGGTTGACCGTGCATTGAGTAAAAGAGAACTTCCCTAGGTCTGTTTTAAACCTGCTGCCTGTACATTTCATTGGGGGCCCCCTGGTTCTTGTGGGATGGGCAGGGGTAAATAACACTGTCACACTCTCCAGTTAGCAGGAGAGAGGGTGCCGCAGTGCACTGGGCTGCGGCCACTGGCCTTTCACCATTGTCGGCCACAGTTAAATCCTGCCTTAGAGAGTACAGCAGTACCATGAGTCCAGTGCTCTTGAGTCTCATATTTCCTCCACAGCAGCTTTCCCTCTTTTAAAGGCAAGTTGGCCTTGTGACTAAGGTAGTAAGTAGGACTCAGGAGCTCTGGGGTCAAATCCTGACTCTGCCACAGATACCCTCTTTGACCTTGGGAAAGTCACTTACCCCCTGATTTCTCATCTGTGCAATGGAGATAATTGTCTATTTAGACTGTAACTTCAGGGGGGCAGGGACTGTCTCTTAATAAGCAAATACGTGACATCTAACAATGCCACATTGATCTTGGCTGGGGCATCTGGACGCTGTGGAAATATAAAGAATACATCGGGGTACTAATTTGGCAGTTGAGTCTCTATTGAACAGCTTCCCTCGGTCCCTTTCCAAAGCTCTCCCGGTCATTTCAATGCAGCTAAACACTATGGACCAATTTCTAGCTCATCATCTGGTGGCAGCACAGGCATGCACGCACCTTTTGGGGCAACTGGCAGTGCCAGCAGGGAAGGCTGGAACATCACCTGGTCTGGAGTTACCGTAATGACCAAGAGAGCAGCAGAGAAAGGCAATAATTGCCCTAATTTAATCCCGGCAGGCCAGATGAGGCTGATTAAAGGCCAATCAGAGCAGCCTAAAAACAGAGAAAAACAGCTGGGGAGGTTGAGTGGAGGCAGAGTTTAAACATTGGAAGCTTCAAGCAGCTGGACTTGAATGCTGGGGACTCAAACTGGGGTTTGCTGGTCTTGTTCTTGTGCTTTGGTGGATGGCCTCTCCCAGCTCTGAGGATGCCGGATAACACTGGAGCCGCTCTCACAAGAGAGAGAAAAACACCTGGGATTTTTGCTTGGATGCAAGCCGGACTCCTGCTGATTGGGCCAGTGGGGAGCCCTGCGTCTGAGGGCGGGTCAGGCAGAACTGTGACAAGCTGCTGTAACCAACTGCCCTTGCTGGGCCCATGTCACAGGCGGTTGGATGCACCATTTGCCTGAACACTCACACCCCACCCAGACAACGGTTTTGGCAGGTCATTTCTTTTTAAATGGGATCATCCAGGCTCAGTGGAAGATGAGCTAAGATCCTGCTGCACAAAGAAGAGGAAATCGCCACTGGGCAAGAGGCGTCACCCCGCCACAGAACTACACTACAGAGAAAATGATTCAGGACTTGATACCAGCTGTTTCTCTGAACCAGGGCAGAGTGGGGAAGTCAGTGTGGGCGGTGCTGACACCC